AGCTACTAGCCTAGACTGTTGCTAGCCTGGACTGCTGCTAGCCTGGACTGCTGCTAGCCTGGACTTAATCTTAAAGGTCAACTTGAAGGGCATGTAAAGAACCTTCTAGATTGGGTTAGCTGAGATGGAGAGACCTACCCTAAATGTGGGTGGTACCATCCCACTGGTGGGTCCCAGGCAGAATAATAGAGGAAAGTGAGCAGACCAGTGTTCATCTCTCTCTGCCTCTTGATTTTGGATGCAATGTGCTTAGCTGCCTCAAGATCCTGATGCCATGGCATGTCCACCATGATGCACTGACAAGCCAGAGACTGCCAGCCCTCCCTCTTCCTCCTTCCTCTTTTTTCTCCCTCCCCTCCTCCCTCCCCATTCTTTCCTCCTTCCGTCCTTCCCCTCCTACCATCTTCCATCCTCTGTCCCCTCCTTCCTCCCCCCTTCCTTCAACTGCATTTGTTGGGCATTTTGTTGTCACAGCAACTAGAGAAGTAACTAATACACCTACCTAAAATGAAAACAGAGGTGCCCCAGGTTATGGTGGTACAGGCCTTTAATCCCAGCACTCAGGAGGCAGAAGCAGCCGGATCTCTAAGGTCTACAAAGTGACTTTCAGGCCTGCCAGAACTACACAGAGAAACCCTGGGGGCAGTGAGGAGACAGGTGCAAGGCCAGGTGGGAGGTTAGGCCTGTCCTGTCCTTCCTGGCTCATTACGATGACAAGATGCTAGGATTTGCATTTGGTGGCAGCTGAGCTCAGAACAGAGCTGGAAGGATCCTGTTTCACAAATAAGGAAGAGACCTTGCCTCCCCTGCACAGCACCTCCCCCTGCAGCTTCCACTCTCACTGCTACAATGGCCCCACTGCCTGCCCTGAGCCTCCTCGTGCCTGCAGAGTCCCAGAGAAGCCCAGAGGCTGCCTACCTCTATCCTCAGAACGTGTGAAGGAAGGAAACCCCAAGGTGTTGAGACCCCGATAGTGTGGCAAGGATGGTGGCCCAGGCCTAGAACCCCAGCGCCTGGGAGGTGAGGCAGGAAGAAGGGCTGGAGAGCGTCCTTGAGATTAGTCTGGGCCAGGTGAGACCCTGCCTGCTGGGAAGCGGGAGCCAGCCTGCCCAGATGTCCCACCGAGCATGTCGGTTGAATGGACTACCACACATTCCTACCAGGAAGACTAAGTATGGTTATACACAGTACTTGGGTGTTTTTGTATTTTCTTTCAATTTTTAAAATTGCATTTATTTATTTATAATTGGGTATGTGTGAAGGTCAGAGGACTAGTTGAAGGACTGGGTTCTCTCCTACCATGTGAATCCTGGAGTATCAAACTTGGGCCATTAGCCTCAGTGGCAAACAACTTAACCTGCTGAGCCATCTTGCTGGCCCAGGCACTTCTTACTGAAGCTCTACATGTCGGACACACTCTGTTTTAATTCTCACAACAACATTGTGAAGGGGAAGTTATTACTGACAGTGCAATGTAGATTGGAAGATTGCAGCACAGAGAAGTGAAGTCACTTAGCTAAGGTCACACAGTGTGTGAAAAGAATTGGGATTCATTCGCCATGTTAAAATGCTCTAGAAAGACCTTTTCGCTTGGAAACTGCTTTGACAAATTGTCCATGAAAAAAGCAAGGCACCCAATTGTGTGCTGTATAGTTTGTTTTTATGGGGGGAGGGTGTTAGTAAGAAAGTGTCTAAAAGGACACACACATAAAACAGTTCTGTTTATTTATGTTTTTAATTGCTCGGTGAACACAAGACACACACACCTGCCCTCACCTCATTTGATCTTCACGCCAACTTTATACAAAAAGAGGAAAACAAGCCGGGTGTTGGTGGCGCACGCCTTTATTCTCAGCACTTGGGAGGCAGAGGCAGGCGGATCTCTGTGAGTTCGAAGCCAGCCTGGTCTACAAGAGCTAGTTCCAGGATAGCCTCCAAAACAGTACAGAGAAACCCTGTCTCAAAAAACCAAAAAAATAGGGGCTGGAGAGATGGCTCAGCGGTTAAGAGCACCTACTGCTCTTCCAGAGGTCCTGAGTTCAATTCCCAGCAACCACATGATGGCTCACAACCATCTATAATGAGACCTGGTGCCCTCTTCTGGCATGCAGGCAGAACAGTGTATATATAATAAATAAATCTTTAAAAAAAAAAAAACCAAAAAAATAAAAGAGGAAAACAGAGAGACTTATTGTCTTGCCCAAAGTCACACAGCTAATAAATTGACGAGTCATGATTTGAACCCAGACCTCCCGGCTTCAAAGTTCATTAGGTATTGAATGAATGACCACCTAATGTCTAGAGCAAGCTCACACCCGGGGTGTGGAAAAATCTTCCAGAGAAAGAATGGAGGCCTTACCTACCTCATGGTCACAACCTGTGTTAGTGACCTCAACCATCACCACTCAAGGGAAACAATTTGAAGAAAAGAATTGTTATTTAGGCTTGTGGGTTTGTAGATGTTTACCCCCATAGTTGTTAATTACTGATTTCTAGGTCTGTGGTGAAGGTGAGCTTCACCACACTGGGAGTGTGTGACAGGGCTGCTCACCTTGTGGTAGGCAGGAAGCAGAGAGAAATAGGCTAGGCAGTGGTGGCACCTGCCTTTGATCCCAGCACTCGGGAGCCAAGAGACAGGCAGATCTCTGTGAGTTCAAGGAGAGCTTGGTCTACATAGCAAATTCCAGAGCAGCTAGAGCTACACAGAAACCCTGTCTGGAAAACCAAAAACAACAACAACAAAAATACGGGAAAGGGCCATTGCAAGAATCATCCCCCAAGGACACACCCCCACACTAGACTGCTTTCTCCAAGAGCCCCCACCTCCTGCCTCCTTCCTGCCTTTTGCCATGTCCCTACAATACCATTCTAGAACGGATCTGTCACATGAGGAAACACTGACTGGGTCTGTATCAGTTCCATTCCTGTTGCTGGGGTAAAAGACCCAACAAAGCAACTTTTGGAAAGACAGGTTAAGTTTGCCTTTCTGTTTGGGGTCCAACAAGGTAAGGAAGACATGGCAGCAGGAAGTCAAGCTGCTGCTCACATTCACAGTCAAGAAACAAAGGGAGGGGGCTGGAGAGATGGCTCAGAGGTTAAGAGCACTGGCTGCTCTTCAGAGGTCCTGAGTTCAATTCCCAGGAAACATGGTGACTCACAACCATCTATAATGAGATCTGGTGCCCTCTTCTGGCCTGCAGGCATACATGCAAACAGAACACTGTATACATAATAAATAAACAAATCTTTAAAAAAAGAAAGAAAAAAAGAAACAGGGGCTGGAGAGTAGAGATGGCTCAGAGGTTAAGAACACTGACTGCTCTTCCAGAGGTCCTGAGTTCAATTCCCAGCAACCACATAGTGGCTCACGACCACCTGTAATTAGATCTGGTGCCCTCTTTGGCCTGCAGGCATACATGCAAACAGAACACTGTATACATAATTAATAAATTAATATTTAAAAAAAAGAAAGAAAAAAGAAACAAAGGGGCTGGCAACTTAGGGCTCAGTTTCCAGCACTCACATACTGGTTTGCAACCATCCCTAATTCCAGTTCCAGGGGGTCCAGTACCCTCTTCTGACCTTTTTGGGCATCAGATACATAAACATAACTGTAGACAAAACACTTGTACGCAGAAGAGGAATAAACCCTGAAGAGGAAGATAAGTGCTCAAGCTCATCTCACTTTGCATTCTGTCCAGGATCCCAGCCCATAGAATGGTGAGGCCCACATTTAGGGTTGGTCTATTAGCCTGGTCTACAAGCTCCCTTAGACACACCAGAGATTTGTTTCCATGGTGATTCTAAATCCCATCCAGTTGACAACCAAGAGTGATCATCACAAAGTCTCAACCCCCAGGATTCAGTCATTTCCCAAATAGCAAACAGTGAAGTCATGAGGCTTTTGAGGACATCTCACATTCAAATCAGAACACCAGCCATACTGTGGTCTGGGAAAGGTGTCACATGTCCTCACAGAACCCCGATTTTACAGAAGGTACAGGACTGCATGTGAAGACTTGGGGCTCCTATTTGTGTCCACATTCCTGGGGAATGTCTGATCACTAGAACAAGATGCCACAATCACATTCCCTCTCTCCTCTAAGTTGCTTTTAGCAGAGGACTTTACTACAGCAACAGTAAAAGAAACCAAGACTCCTTCCCTTTTGTCAAAACAGTTGCTGGGACCTGAACCCTGAGCTTGCTTTGTGCTCCACCACAGGACCCCAGTATCAACTCTAGCCCAGGCAGGCCCTGCCTGTCTTACAGGGTAGACCAAAGGAACAAATAGAAAGAATGCGTGGGTGTCAATCGAGTAGAATGCTCTCCTTCAAGCTACACACAAAGCCCTGTGGTGGTGCTTGTCTGTAATCCTAGTGCTCAGGAAGCAGAAGCAGGAGGATTCCTGCATATCCAAGATCAGTCTAGTCTACATTGTGATTTCCAAGCCAGGGCTCCAGAGCTATACCCTGTATCAGAAAAGGTCAAATATATAAAATCAGGGGCTGGAGAGATGGCTCAGCAGTTAAGAGCAGTGGCTGCTCTTCCAGAGGTCCAATTCTCAGAGTTCTGCTCTTCTCAGAGTTCAGCCTCCTCGAGAGGTTCAATTGAACCCGGGTTCAATTCTCAGTACCCACATACAGCTCACAATTGTCTATAACTCCAGTTCCAGGGGATCTGACAGCTTTACACAGACATACATGCAAGCAAAATACCAGTATTCACAAAATGAAAATAAAGAAATCATTAAAATGAATAAATAAATAGATTTGAGCACAATAGGAGCTCCCAAGAGGAATTCAGCTAGGACTGTCTGATCCACCATGTTGAATAAATGTGTTGCCTCTTCCTCCCATGAAGTCCCTCTGCTCTCTTTAGGCCAGCCCAGCCAGCTTTGTTTGCATCCTGAGATAAGTAAAGCCTTTGGCGGGTGTCTCTCCTATCACTCCTTCCAGTGAGGCCCGGTGCTGGCAGAACCTGGGAGCGGCAACAGGAACAAGATGGCCTCTAAGTACCCACGGTCCCTCCGATGCTGCCTGCCCCTGTGGGCTTTCACGCTGCAGGTGGCTTTCATCCTTCTCCTCTGTTTTTTAATCTCCTCTGACATTCCCCAAATGCAACAGAAGTTCATGGTGACCTATCAAGGTGAGGGGCCTGGGGAAGTGGTAAAATGGACCGGGGGTAGGGAAGGTCTGTGGTTCCCCAAGGGCACAGGTGCTCCTTTTTACAGCATCCCCCGAAAGGAGTTCCAGCCCTTACATAGATTGCACTGAGGCCAGCTGACAGTGTGGGCTGGGCTTCAGCAGTGGCTCAGGCTTTGCCCGCTTCCCTGAGTCCCACCTGGGACTCAGAGCAGGGGACTTGTCTGTTGTGCTGAATTTCCTGTGCAAATAGCCTTTACAGTGTGCCACTTTCCTGTTCCTTCTCTCTCTTTGGCAGCAATGACTGTCACACTGTGTTGTGTTGTGAGGTGGGGGTGTCTCCTTTACTCACCTCTTTAAAAAACGTATTTGTGTTATTTTTAATCAGGTGTATGTGTCTGTGTATAGGTATGTGCACATGAATGTAGGATGCTCATGGGGGACAGAGGCACTGAATCCCTTGTTAGCCACGCAGTGTGGGGTGTTGGAAATACCGATGCTCTACAGGAAAGAGCCCTGGAACCGCCTCTCAGTTCTCCCTCGCCCCTGCCTCCTCTCCAGGGCAGGAAAGCCTGCTTTGGGTGGGAATCCAGAGCCAGAAAGAATGGCTGGAGGAGGAGGATGGCTTTTTGGTGAGCAGCTGTGTTGAGAGCAACCAGAAACAAATAGCTTGTTCACAGTGGTCTGTGTTTGCCTCTGTACAAAACATCCCGACATGGCTGGAGCCTCTCCCAGGCTGCTCGCAGAAAACACATAGGCCTCTTGAAAGGTGTCCCAGAGACAGAGCCGCAGCCCAAGCCTTGCAGAGTGGGACCTTGGACTTCGGCGATGTGAAACTGGCCCATTAGCTGGAGGCAGAGGCATGCATGCAAAGATTCCCGGTACAGTTCTAATTCCTTCTCATTCATCTCTCTTAAATCCAGCCCAGTGTTAGCCAGGTGGTGCTGGCACACACTTTTAATCCCAGCAGGAGGAGGAGGCAGGTGGATTTCTGTGAGGTAGAGGCCAGCCTAGTCTGTCTACAGAGCAAGTTCCAGGACCGGCAGGGCTTTGTTATACAGAGGAACCCTGTCACAAACAAAAACAAAAACAAAAAAATCCATCCTGGTGTTTACTGTAACTCTGTTCATTCCTGTTTCTCCACTAAGTTGAGTGTTGCATCCAGCATGGGGTCTGGACACACGGATCATGTGACTGGTTTTCATTGAGCACTTACTGTATACCAGGCACTTTTCAAACAGCTTCCTATTGGCCCCCACAACAACCCAATGAGACAGGCTATTTCCTCCATTTCTCATGGAGGAAATAGGTACTCAGATGTTAAGTCACTGGACCAGAGTTGCCTAGCAGGCATTGGGACATCAGGTTGACAGTCAGGCATGTTGGCTGGTTTTAGTTACACGCACCTGACTATTGTATCTCATGGCCCTTGTCACAGTAGGACTGAGCCACTTGTCCCCTAATCCGTAGGTATGGGAGCCACTCAGGCAGACTGATGCCTGCAAACTGACCTCTAACTACTATATGTCCCAAATAAATAAATAAAAACAGATGTAATCCTTTAAAGTTTTGTAATAAAACAGAACCTTAAAAAATTAAACTATTAGGGCTAGAGAGGTGACAGAGTGGTTAAAAGTCAGAGGATCTGGGCTGGAGAGATGGCTTAGCAGGTAAGAGCACTGACTGTTCTTCCAGAGGTCCTGAGTTCAATTCCTGGCAACCACATGGTGGCTCAAAACCATCTTGAATGAGGTCTGGTACCTTCTGCTGGCATGCAGGCAGAAGATTGTATACATAATAGATAAAAAAAAAAAAACAAAAGATCCAAGTTCAGTTCACACCATGCATATTTGTAACTCCAGCTCTAGGGCATCAATTCTGGCTTCCTTGCTAACCCTCACATAGCATACACACACACACACACACACACACACACACACACACACACACACCACCTTTAAAAGAATAAATAAAAAGGATTGAAAGCACTCAAGAAGTAGAGGCAGGTGGATCTCTGTGAGTTCAAGGCCAGCCTGGTCTACAGAGTGAGTTCCAGAACAACTAGGGCTGCTACACAGAGAAACCCTGTCTCAAAAAACAAAGAGTAGTGTGTATACGTAGATAAATACCACCAACTTTTATTACTAATCAGCTTAAATTTCTTTTTTTTTCTTTTTTTTTTTTAATTTTATTTTCCAGTTTAAATTTAGATAAGAAACAAGGTTGCTTCACAAAATTTCTTATGCTTTGTATAAAAAATAAACCTGGAAGTGCTAATGTTTTCTTCCAGAGACCTCTAAGGACTGTCTTGGGTACTTTCCAAGGCTCTGTGCTCTGATGACCATGTCTGGATGACTTATAATGGAGCCAAACAGGCAAGAGATGAGAGTAGAAGCAAGATCCATTTAGGAGATGGTAAAAGGGGGTGGGGGGGCCGGGCGTTAGTGGCTCACGCCTTTAATCCCAGCACTCAGGAGGCAGAGGCAGGCGGATCTCTGTGAGTTCGAGGCCAGCCTGGTCTAAAGAGCGAGTGCCAGGACAGCCTCCAAAACAATACAGAGAAACCCTGTCTTGAAAAAACAAAACAAACAAACAAAAAAACCAAAAAACAAAAGGGGGTGGGGGAATGCTACAGACATGTGATTGGACAATAGCTGTGTATATTACTTTCTATTCCTTTTTTTAAAGATTTACTCATTATATATACAGTGTCTGTCTGCATGTTTGTCTGCAGGCCAGAAGAGGGCACCAGATCTCATTACAGATGGTTGTGAGCCACCATGTGGTTGCTGGGAATTGAACTCAGGACCTCAGGAACAGCAGCAGCCAGTGCTCTTAACCTCTGAGCCATCTCTCTAGCCCTCTATTACTTTTCTATTACTGTGATGAAATACCATGACAAAGGCAACTTTTTTTCTTTTTCTTTTTCTTTTTCCAGACAGTTTCTTTGTATAGCCTTGGCTGTCCTAGAACTCACTCTGTAGACCAGGCTGGCCTTGAACTCACAGAGATCTGTCTGCCTCTGCTTCCTGAGTGCTGGGATTAAAGGTGTGTGCCACCACTGCCCAGTAGACAGAGGCAATTTTCAAAAGAAAGCATTTAATTGGGCTTATGGTTCCAGAGGGCTGGAATCCAGAGGCTGGAATCCATATTGGTGGGATGAAGTCAGGTGGCAGGAACAGATGCTCACCTATCAAACCTCAAGCAGGAGGCTAAGAGTGCAGTAGGGATGGCAGGATGCTTTTGAAGCCTGTGACACCCCTTCTCCAACAAGGCCACACCTCCGAATCAGTCTCAAACAGATTCACCAGTGAAGGACAGGTTATTCAAACATACAAGCATGTGGAGGCTATTCTCATTCAACTGCCACCCTGTGCCAGTTCTTAAGATAAAACACAAGTACAGATGTGGTGTAAATACACGATGACACATTCATCCTGGGCCAGAGGTTGAGATGCCTGTGAAATGCTTAAGGGAAGCAGAATCTATCAGTCACCGATAGCTGTGTAACAACCATCCCTAGCTTTAGTGCTTTAAAATAGCAATGGTGCTGTTTACCCATTTACCCACCACCATGATACTGTGGCTCCGCGAGTGGGTGTGGTTCAGCTGGCAGCTTCACTCAGGGACACTCATTTATTCAAAACCTAGAAATTCAAAACCAGGCTCCTCCTGGCCTCATTTCTCCATGGCAGGCAGATCGGGCCAGTTGGGAGCATCAGGTCAGCCCAGACTTCACATTGCAGCAGAGGCGTTCCAGCAGTGAGTGAGAACACAGTGGAGGTGTTGGTAAAATGTCTTCTACCCATACCCCATTCTCTAGAGCTAATGACAAGCTCAAACTCATAGAAGCAGCCTACATCCAGAGGCATGCTTCACTGTTCCATTACTGGAACACTTTGCCACAGACAGCCCATCCTAGGGATGCCAAACTGGGGAGCTGTCTCTTGGGCCTTTTGCTTTGTAAACCACTCATCCACCCCACTCCACCCCACTCCGCACACTTTCCTCAGGGGCAGGGAAAGGGGCTATGGGGAAAGAAGAGGGGGTTCCCAGTGGCAAGTGCTCCACACCGTCCACCTCAGGGACTCTCCGTCTCTCTTTCCTGCCTGCTGGGGTGACGTGGCATGGGAGGGAGCAGAGAATCTGGGTAAGGAGATGACACAGATGCTATGGCCCCGAGACTGTAGAGTTCCTCCCTGAGTCTTGTTCCCTCAAGCTATTAGGAGGGGCAAGAGTGGGCGGGCAGGACTGGAAGGGGACAGGAGACAGGTCAGGGTAGACAGATTCAAGGGCTGACCTGCAGTTATCCAAATGCACAGGCACAAAATGGGAATCGTCATGCAAAGTAATGCATGTCGCGTATGGAAGGCACAGGTGCTCCCGTCACAGCGCCAAGCCTTGCAGGAGCCAGTGAGCGGGTGCCACTACCCACTTTACAGATTAGGAAGCTGAGGCACACAGAGAGAACCAGGCCTTAGCCCTGATGTGCAAACTCAGAGGTCACGCTGCACCCGTAGGACGAGGAGTGGAGTTCAAATCTCTTTGTCCCCATTTACCAGCTGTGTGACCTGTGCTAGCCACAGCAGCCTTCTGTGCCTGTCTCCTCCATCTGTCATAGGACAGACAGAGACTGGGAAGTGGGTCTGTCATGAGGATGCTGGGGACTGCCTCTCTTGCCTCACTGCCGGACTCCAGGGTCGGTTTCCTTACCTCACAGAAGGCCCACCTCAGGCAGTGAAATTGTCTTGCCACCCAGTCCTCTCAGCTCCTTATCATGCCAAGCACCTTGCAGTCCACTAGTTTATCAGCCCCGGAGCAGAGCTGCACGGAGAGGCCTAGGCTGACGCCCAAGGAGGCGCCCTGATCCTCTGAGTGGGACTCAGTCCTAGGGTGGGGGTGGGGAGGGGCAGGAGTAAACCCTGAGAGCATTTCAGGATGCTGGAGAGGAAATGGGGAGAAGGGCGGGGTGGAGTCGGAGGTGGGAAGGCCAGATGTTATGCT